GATGGAGAAGCTGACCAGCTGGGTCTATCTGAGGGGCCCATGGTAAGGACCTCAGCTGAGGGTGTTCCTAAACCCTTTAGGGCCCAGGATTTCAAACAGACATAAGGATATGTGGGATACATAGGGCTATACCCTAAACCCTAAGCCCCAGCCCCTAAACTGTGTAGCTAAACCGGCATGTATGGGGGCGTATGGCCTGGGGTCTAGAACCTGGCATCCAGGGTTTTGGATTTGAGTTTGCGGGCGCTTTGTTGGTAAGGAACCCTAAACCCTCTAAACCCTGAACCTAAACCGTAAACCCTAAACCCTAAATCCTAAACCCTAAACCCGCGGTCTAGGGTTTAGGGCCTATGTGGATATACAGGCCTTGGGATTTTGGGCCATGCCCAGACCCCAAACAGATTTGAAAAACGAGATTCCCCAAGATCCTATGGGGGTGTTGATACTTGAAGCACTTTGGATTGAGTAACTACATCTAGCGGGGCTTATAACCCTACATCTAACTGGGGCGGAGGGAGAGGGGGTGGGTTTAGGGTTTAGGGTTTATAAAATTGGGGTAACCTGCAAAAGCCCATTTAGGGGGAGTCTGCTTAGAGGTTCTCAGCCGCGTTTTAAGTGGTTACTAAATCCGTTGAACCTTCAACCGGCGGGCGGGGGGGGTGGTTGTTCGATACTCCTAGGGATGCGAGCCTTCTTCAGCGGATTCAGCAGCGCACAGCACACCATCAGCACCAAGACGTATCCCATCCTAGGTAGCACATAAAATGTTTTAGGGCTTAGGCTTCGTTAGGAGCTGTTTAATTCTCATAGGGATAAGGATTTTGGGTAGTTAGGGGCTGGGCCCAGATAATCATGATATTGCTTTTGGTTAGGTTTAGCACGGAGATACAGATGAGACCCAACGACAAACAGCCTGCTGAACACTTTCCAAAATGACGGGTCCCATTTTTTGTCACCCTAAACCCTAAATCCTAAACCAAAATCCTAAACCCTAAACCCAGGGATTTTTTGGGCTAATTACATACACAGGGACCCTCTTGGTGGAAATACATCTTTCTGCCGAAGACAAAAGATCGTCCGAGCCTCATCTCTGAAAGACTTCCACTTTGAGTAGAAACCGTTTAGGGCCTAGGGTTTAGGCTTTAGGGTTTGGGATTTGGGGTTTGGGGTTTAGGGTTTGGGGTTTAGGGTTTTTGGTCTAGTCTTGCACAGCTTCGGGTATGTAAGTGTCTCTGCGGTCTACAACGGCAGGAGCGTACGATGTTGCAACATGTCTTCCATCCACATCCCTAAGCCCTAAGCCCT